ATGGTCCTGAGGAGAGATCGTGGGTTAATTCTCAGGATATCCTGGACCCTTCACTCACTACTGAATTTCATAGAACCCATCCTTGCAAACCAGCCCCTCACTACCGTGGAAGTCCTCGGCGTCGTTCTCCTCCTCGCTTCAGGAGCCGCTCGCAGGGGGGGGCTCTGTCACGATTTGGGCCTCTGTGGCTCTCTCCGACGGCCTCCGGAGGGCACCCTCTCCCGAGTACTAACGTTCATGGACTACATTTCCCTGACACCCCGTACCTGGGACTGATTACGGCACAGGTGTTCCCCCTTAGCTTCCCTATTTAAGCAGCTCCCAGACTCTCTATGTTTGCGAAGTCTTGTATTGCCCCGGCTACATTTCTGAGCGTTTATCCCCTATCTTGTCGTCTCTTGTGTATTACCTCGGACTGTTCTTACTAGTGTGATTCTCTGCCGCCTGCCCCGACCCTCGTTCTGCCACTGTTTATTCTCTTGGATTACCCCTGCTGTACGTGACGCTGTTGACTGAATACTGCCTGTTTTACTCTGCCTGTTATTCTAATAAAAGCTGCAAATGGATCCGCACGCCTCTGACTAATCGTTACAACTACTTCATACTGCACAGTACATGCTGCATAATGTATATATAATGTCTACTCATTTTTGAAACAGTATGCAATATGCAAGGATAAACTGCATAGTGTCATAATACTTTCATTTATGACAAAAGGTGATGCACCTAGTAAGAAAGACCAGGGCTAGTTGTCTCACTGGTCTTGTGTGTGTGTGTGTATATATACATATTATTTAAATGCATATTTTATTTAAATTATATTGTTTTGTTTATATTTAATTTTACTATTTAAATGTATATATTCAATATTATTATTACATTATTTTTTATTAAGGTTTACAGAATAAACTTTTAGCAAATTTCAGTTGTGCAATAAATCCACATCAATTTGATGTCAAATAATAAACTTTGAGTTTCATCAGAAGCAGTTCAGAAAGACTTTCTCACTAAGCACTATTTCAGAGAGATTCAACACGAAAAGACACAGTGGGAAGTTAAATCTCCAGTATCCTACAGATGAACACTCTGAGCCTCTCTGGTATTCTTCTCGTGTCCGGTTGCTTTTCTTTGCCCTGCAAACACAAGCTCTTTATGAAGTCCATGTGCACGGGGACACGGTGATTAAAATCCTCAGGCTGAGCATGTCTGGTGAGTGTTTTCTACATCTACATGCTGTTTAATGGGGGTCATTTATTGTGGTAATAAGTAAGATACTAAGTGGGTTTAACATTGCCGTAGTCGAATGTCACCCATCACTGATGTCGCGAAGTGATTCTTCATGAACAAATCTGTTTTGAGTAATAGGAAAGTATACTTTGTCTACTTTGTATGTACATCTCAGAAATATACTTAAAATGACATTTAAGTATGCTTGACTTATACTTAGAAAAAATCTAAATATATTTGAGCTATACTTGTGCGCCGAGAATCCGTGTTTTCATTGTTATATGGTAGGGAGCGCTAGTACACATCTTCTGTACAGAATTTCCACTAAAAAAACACAAGTGAAGAAGAAACCGAAACAACAGATGCTTCCACATGTATTCTAACACGATCATCAGACATAAAACAGCATCAAAACTGTGTAACGTTATGGAATAAAATGTCAACCCATGAAGAGGTAATAATGATCATCAAGCTTTGGGGTGCTGATCGACTCCATCTATGTTTTGATTATCATTCTATTGTGGATGATTTAGGTTTGTGTAACAAATATTTAGAGAGAATGCAGGTTGCGAATTATGGGGGTCTGACTCCACTCATTAAGGTTTAAAAGAAAGTCAAAACTAAAGGTCGGGGGTCTTAAACGTGTATATAGTGTATTCTTTTTACATGTAAGTTTAAATGCACATTTTAGTCGCGTTCTAAAACATTTCAGTAACTACAAAAATTTAGATTCAGAGTGCGCTAAACAGACCAGAAGTCGC